GTTGACAAAACTTTTTGTACATATAATAGTTATGGTTGGATATTAAAAAAAAGCATAAGATAAGCATAAGACCACAATCTTTTCAACATTTTCCTGATATCAGGTGTTATACACAAAAATCAAACCGATGCCGACAAACTTCACGTTACCATTACCTAAAATTGCAGAGAAACTTTTCTATAGTACAACAGATGTACATTTTCTCAACCAGCTTTATACACAGCATTTTAAAATGTAAATACTTTTTCTCTAATGTTCCCGATGGCCGACAGTTTTAGAACACCTACCAGACATAACTGGCTCTTGATAGTCTTTTTCTTTGTCAGTAGTTCCAATCCCCTGATCATCTTCTGAATGGAAATTATCTATAATTTTCATAGCGCAAAACAAAAATGTAAGAAAATTTCAATGTTTTTACACAATTAAAACATCAAGAAACTAGTCTGGATGTAAACATTCCCCCAAAACATGTCAATTTTTTTATTACAACTGATGGTAGTTAGCCTAAAGCCAGACATTTTCTCAATCCATACATTTTGAGAAATGATATTTATGAAAATGTTCTTCATCAACAGTCATGTTTTTCTACCTAATCACATTCTGGGATGGCAACAAACAATCCTAAGAGGTTAACTCCCATACGTAAGCTTCTCCTCAGCAGTCCAAAAGTATTAAAGCAGGAAGTAAATTAAGTTGGCACCCTCAGGATACAATTGACCAAGCTCACCTGTGTACGAGTGCAGCACAGAAGTATTTGTGTTACAACCACTGCCTCTGCACATTATAAATTTCATCTGTATTTGTGTTTTTAAATATGGTATACAACTTTTTACAGCAAAGATTCTGCAGTCAAAATAACACTGCACAAAGAATGCCATAATTGGAAAAGTTGTCTTGCAAAATAAAACCAGAAGAACTTTCTGGTAATATATTTTTTATGTTATAAAGAAACATTCAAAAGGTTAGTTTTGATTTTTTTTTCATACGAATGAAATCACAATCTTCTAAAAACTATTTTAATTTGAGGTTTGTCATATAAAAATCAAGCCAATAACTGAAACGTTACACATTACCCAAGTTTGAGAAAGAAACACACCTATATCCATTTCAGAACAGATGTACATTTTTGCACCAATTTTATACAGTTAGCTCTAAAACACTTTACACATCAATAAACTTTACAGCATCACTACGTCTTAACACAAGTAGTACAACAACATCAGATCTATGCACAAGTAGCACATTTTCTTTTCTCAAATGTATTTGTGAACATGTATGTATTTAACACCTAATTTAAATATTAACTTTCAAAGAAAGAATATCAAGTAGAAATTCAGAACTCTTTTCTAAAACTTGAAAACCACCTACATATACATATTTGCACTTAGGGTGAAAAATCTTTAATGAAATTAGTTTTTGCTATAGATTAACACCAAAAATATATTACTACAAAACTTTTTCCAAATTAAATTTATCTAGGTATCAACATACAAAGGTTACAAAACTCTCAGAAGAAATGTACCAGCTTGAAGAAGAGGAGTTAATACAGTAACTACAGTACAGCAGATTTACTTACAGTAGATATATACAGCTTACATTCCCATTGTTTGATAATATCTATATTAGTTACACCTATACCAAACTTCAACAGTTTCTGATACACACATAAATGGAAGTTAAATGAGAGATTTGCTTTTTCTTAGACTTAGAAAGGTCCAATAACTAGTTTAGAAAGCTTTAAAACTGAGAAACCATTATGTTAGAAGCTAAAAATTTGCAAGATTAAAATAATTTCTACCTTTATTAAACTTTGATTAGCTTCAACTGTGTTCATCATAATTTTATTAATACACAGAAAAACCTAGAGCTTTTATGTATAAATCATATATGCATATTAAAAAGAACCATTGTTAGAATATACTACTAGACTCAAATAAAACTATATAAAAACTCTGCACGCACTTCTGTTTACAACTTCCTTACCAATATCAAAAGAACCATTGAGTTCAGCTCCAACACCTGGCTCCCGAGGTTGTAAAAGCTTTCGTCGGTCATGAATTTCCTCAGATATATTTTCCAAACTACGCAAGGAATCAGAATAAGATCGTTTGGCATCTGTGACAGCTTTCTGGAGGGCCTCTACTCTTACCTTCAAGTCCTATTGAACATTTTGTTTTATTCTATACTTTTATAAAAGGTTATGTATACTTATAAATGTGCTTCTTAATATCAGAGATCTAGTAATTTTTAACACTTGTGTTTATAGTAGTACAAATTTAAATGCTGTGTTTTAGTTATACGATCTCAAATATCACATATATTGAGGAAAAGTACTTGACGTGTAAATTCAAACCACAAGTCATTGTTTAATACAATCAAACTATGAACCTCTTAGACAGCATCTGATATCTTTATATCTAACCTGGTAGATTATTTACTGTTTTATATTTTATTTATTAAATAAAAGCAAACATAACCACACACACACATATTTTTACAAATATAAAAAGAAAAAAAAGGGATAGATACTAAGCAATGACTTATCAACCATAAAGCCAATTAACTAGAATTGGTTGATTATTAAAAAAAAACTTACCAACATTTCAAAAAGCAATAGCATATATACAAAAAAACTTTACTGTCTATAAATAATCCCATTTTCGGGTTTCAGATGTTTATAGAACTCAGAATATTTTTGAGGGTTTTCTGAAAATAGTCACCTGTTTCTTAACGTAAATAGCATCTGAGCCACTACTATATCTGTCATATTTCAGCTGGCCTGAGGTTCCCTGGTATTAGGTGAAAGACCTCACTGGCACTAAACATAACAAATATATAATGTGGCTGACATATTATCATCATGCACTTTTCTTTACTTTGGCTCAGAAGTAGTTAATAATAATAACTTTATTTTTTCCAATATTCGTTAAATGTTCCAACATGCTTTGGAATTGAATTTGTGTAAAAAACCTTGGTTAACAATAATCAAAGTTATCTAGTTACACCTGTTCAAATCTGCATATGAGGGGATTAGAGAGAAAATCCCATATTTAAAATGATTACATCTTCAAAACTACTTGTCTTAGTTTAGGGAACTATATTTCATCAGAGGCACAATGAGAATTATAAGTCTTATTGAGTAAAGTTAAACATGATACAGAGTGTTTCACAAACTGTCACACAAAGTGTTCAATATGTTTTCCACCATTCTTGATCAGAACATCAGACCGATCATTAAACGAAGCTACAGCAAGCATTATATGTGTTCATTGATCTTCACAATATCTTGCACACTGACATGCATTTATATTCAAATTAGCAACCTCTTATTGTTGACAGAGAAAGATAAATAAAAGCAACGGTAGTTTGCAAGAAAAGTAAGTTAGGTATGCAGTATAATAAGATTTTGAAACACTCTGTATGATGTCCAAACGTTCCCGAATAAAACTTAATTCTTAATGTGCCTCTTGTTTATTTGTTGAATTTCATGAAAAGCTACTAATTTAAAAGTGACAGGGAAGGCAGCTAGTCAACACCGTCCACCACCAATTTTTGGACCACTTATTTACCATCACACTATAAAACCTCCACAGCTGAAAGGATGAGCATGTTTGGTAACAGTAATCGAACCTACGAGCCACAGCTTGCGAACTGAGTACTCTAAACACCAAGCCTAATGTGCCTTTGGGGAAATATTGTTCCCTTACAACAAGTAGATTTTTAAGGAATAATAATTATTTTAAATTTGGTTTTTCTTTAAAGTCACCCTGTTTGTAAATAATAATATCACACTTCGCAATCCCTCAATAAGAATCTAAAACTTTCTACAGCTTTCCAGCAGAGGGCTAATTATCCACAATTACTATTTAAGCCTAACATGTGACATTTAGGATACAGTGCAACTCAATAAAATTCCTATGAGTAATTGTTAAAATTTGATTGTAAATTCACTTGCATGCAACAAGGTGAACAAAACAACAAGTTCTGATTTGCAAAATATGGGAAAGAAAAAAATTATTATTAAATCCGTCCAGAGAATTTTTTCCCAATTGATTAATCTGATTCTAGTGATATTGCAGATGAAAGTTAGCATCATTGTTGTTTTATTTTGTTACTATTTTGGTCAAATCACTAATGTGTTATAAGAAGTTTATGACATCTAGTATAAGAACGAATGAGAGTGACTAGTCACATCTACCTGCATCGAAGGAAGAACACAAAGAAATAATTGTCTGCTTGTTATCAACTGATTAATTATATTCACTGTTTTTTTTTTACTTGTATATCATTAAAATATACGTGTATTATACGTATTTACTTATATCATCGGACAAAATATGTAGCTTTGCATTGCAGTCTGTGATACATTTTGAATGACATATGATACAGTGCCTTCAGTGTATTACATTTTTCTAATCAGAAGCCTGTCAATAAACTGACTACTGTCTTCTTTTAATTAACTTTCTAGACTTGGGTGGATAAAAGTGCACGTGCTATGACCTTTTACAGAGTTACATTCAATTAAACAATTTTATTATTAATGTACGTGAATAAAATTGACATCAAAATATAAATATACTAAAATTAGAAAGCCAGTTAACTTATAATAGGCTTAGGACATTCTATTATTTTTTTTTGTTTGTGATAATATTTTGGGTTCTAAATTGCATATTAATAACTTAACATGCTCACATTGCATTGCATGATTGTAACTCAACTCTGAGAGGGTTTAAATGCAGCTGTAAAGCAATAAAACTAAAAGAACACAGATTTGGAAAGTCTCTAAGCTTTACCTGTAAGAATAAATGAAAGAGTGAAATTATTTGTTACAATATGCAGTCATTCTAGAAAGAAAAATAAAGGTAATTTACGTTTATTTTGTATTTTTAAACTTTTCACCTTAACCTATATCATTGCTGATATCACTACAGTTAGTGTTAGAGAAAATAACAGATAATATATACAGTTATATTGGAAAAAAAAACGTGTTCATCAGACCAAATGAAAAAGAATAAAAGAAGATCTATCTGCTTCTTATGGATTTTTACCCAGAGGCAACTCACAATCCCTACAGTCTCCTCTAACACCCCCTCCCCCCAAAAAAAAGACTTGCCTTATGATGCTTAAACAGTGCCCCCTTTTTCCTAATGATCCCCTGCCCTTTTAATGACCTCTGCAAATTGGTAACAGCAAGTTTTTCTACCACTACTAACTACAAACATTTTTTGTTTTTTTGTATTGCATATTTTCATGGTTATAGTAGTGACCAGTAACAAATGTTGTCAACAATAAGCCTGACAAAATGTAACAGTCCTGCCAACTATATATTTCTTTTTGGATACTCTCAACATTTACAAGTGTACACCCACGAAGTAATTTTTCTGAACATCAGAGAAATAAATGATTAATAATAGTGTGATTATTAAACACACATCTTAACAGAAGCATTCTTACCTGTAACATGTGCTGGAAGACATTCTTCTGTTCAAAGTATGGCCTGTGAAAACATAAAATATGTAATATAGTAATAATAATACATAATGTGTGTATACGTCATGAAATCGAATACCCAATCTCTCTGTCACAATCTTAAAAAATACATGTCATATGATAAAGAATGATTATATTACCAGTTTTTAGAACCTAAAAATGCCAGAGTTTTCAATAAAAACTTGTATTATCTGTAGTTGTAAAACATATTTTACAGGTATTTGTCTCACTCTAACTTATTTTTCAAATGTAGAGCGTGTGTTTTAAACTCTAACGCCTACATAATACTTATTTTAATCCCTCTTGGCCATATAGAATCATTTAGTTGGCTAACAAGAACTGAGTTCAACAGTACACAAAATCATTCAGAGTAAAAAAAACACTTGCCATGATAGTGGTTTTAGCACAATAATAACACAAAATACTATTTTACTATATTAGTGTGTAACAGATCATTTAAAAAATTTAACAGGTTTGTTTTAGAACTAGTGATAATTTATGTATTTCATTAAAAAAATGAAACAAAATTCTATACGTCATGTTTAGCATAACAGTGACATAAAGAACTGTTTGAATAGCCTAATTAAAGTTTTTAGTTAAGCCAGTAGTATCAAGCTTGGTTATTAACTATCCCATAATAACTTAGTTCAAGCTAATTTGCTCCATTTGTTTTGGAAATTTAAACTAAGTTACAGATATTTAATTATTTGACCATGTTTATAAATCATCATTAAAAAAAATAAAATATTATTTGAATGTTTTGCAAAATCACCACTACTTGACTTGTAAATTTGTTTTTATTTCATATCACAATGTACATATCTCTGTTAATATGATCTTACCTTGATTTATATATAACAGAATAGAATCATACATAAAATACTTTCACTGAGTTATTGTTACATTAATTTCTATTCCAGACTCCATTATGTTCAGAGTCTGTAGTTCTAGTTGTTTGGACTAGAAATGGACAGACTTTTGTAATGTAACCCACATCAGGATTATAGAGTCTATACTCCTAGATGTTTGAACAAGACCATAAACAGACTTCAGTAATGTAATATACTATGGTCAGAGTCTGTACTCCTAGCTGTTTAAACAAGGCTATAAACACACTTCAGTAATGTAATCTACTCTACTATGGTCAGATTCTGTACTCCTAGCTGTTTAAACAAGGATATAAACAGACTTTAGTAATGTAATATACTCTACTATGGTCAGAGCTTGTACTCCTGGCTATTTGAACAAAGCCATAAATATACTTCAGTAATGTCATCTACTCTACTATGGTCAGATTCTGTACTCCTAGCTGTTTAAACACGGTTATAAACAGACTTTAGTAATGTAATATACTCTACTATGGTCAGAGCTTGTACTCCTGGCTATTTGAACAAAGCCATAAATATACTTCAGTAATGTCATCTACTCTACTATGGTCAGATTCTGTACTCCTAGCTGTTTAAACACGGTTATAAACACACTTCAGTAATGTAATCTACTCTACTATGGTCAGTTTCTGTACTCCAAGCTGTTTAAACAAGGCCATAAACAGATTTGAGTAATGTAATATACTCTACTATGGTCAAAGCCTGTACTTCAAACAGTTGAAAGAAGACCATGGACATATCTTAGTAATATAAACATCTCTACTTATGCAGGGTGGCCACATTCTTTCTTTATCCTAAATTGTCCAGGCAAAATTCTACATTTCCCAGATTTTGTACGTATACAAAACTGATATTTCAACTTTTCCTCATAATGCTACCTAATTAACATAATTTTGGCTCATAATATGGTTATAAATAGTAATAAGAAATTTAAAGACACACTTTAGACTAAAGCACTAGAGAAAAAGATCTTCAAACAAGAATAGTACAAATTGATGGTACAAGAAAATGTCACATTTTCATTTATGAACTAATGTTTCTATCAAATTTATTATCAAATATCACAAAATTAACATCAAGTAAAGTTCATAGTCACTGACCAAGATGGGGGGATTTACCCTGACTTTTTTATTATTTTTTATTTTGATCCACTTTTCAATCTCCCAAACATTTATATGTTTGTCATCACCCTGTTATTCAAAGCAAAGGAAGGGTCTTGTACCCTGTAACAGTGAGTTCACCATACCTGGCTTTTGAAATATCTTTTTTCAGCTGTCTTTCCAGTATGAGAACTTTATGTTCAGCTTCACTATATGCTTGTGTTCTTAGCCTATGTTCACGCTCGCTTTCAATTTTTTGGGCCTCAGCTTCCATGACCTACATAGAAAAATACCCCTCTATTCCTTGCTTTAATCTTCAAAGTCCAATATCAGAATATATTCTTAAGGTACTGAACATTTTACTTTGACAGATAAGAAACTGAAAACAATACAGTTTTCTTTAATACAAAGTTCCATATTCCTAAGTTTGATAAATAACAAATCCACAAGAAAAATGTTCAAGTTCCAATTCACATACAAATATCTATACACACATAGAATGTATCTTGAAATGGTATAAAATTCTGAACACCAATGTTCACTACAGACTGATGAGACATAATTTGAAGTTAGTGTTAAAAACAAACAACTGCTACAGTCCTCACATTGGTAAGTTAGAAATAACATTTAAAATTCAAAGATAATTATTTCTCTCTCTCTCTCTCACAAAAATGCCATAAAATATGTGATATTTAATCCCTTAAAATAACCTGTTTAAGCCAGCACTGTCAAGATTAAATATAATCATACAAATACAGAATTATCATAAACATTTTTTAAACATTGTAGCTGAAAAGATCATTCAATTTGTGGTGTTAATTTTAAAGTACTTGCCAAACCATAAAAATAAACATTCATTCACAGAACTTTTTGTATTTAATAAATTTTAATGCACTTGTTCATTAGGCATTATAATTCAATAGCCACAAACATCTTTTAATAGGTTTTAATCCTAACCTATACAGTCAATATATTAGGTTTAGCAAAGTTTACACATTATCAATATTTACTTTTAATTAACTTAACTATCTAACATATTTACCAGTGTTTTCTAAACATTTTTAATCTTCTTGGATGATGACAAAAATATAATCAAGTTAATAGTTATTCTTGATTATAAAAAAAGAATGATGTATTTATGCTGTATATTTTACAATGCTTTTTGTTGATGGACAGAGTAATAAGACATATTAGAACTTAATATAAACTTAGTTGATTCTACTCAGCGAGTATTTAGTAAGGAAGTATCAGTGCAGTTTGCAGAAAATGGTGTACTGGAATTAGAAGTGACAGTAACATATTTAAAAGTGTTGTTTTAGTTTTTCAAAGAACAAGCTGCATATCAGAGTGAGAAACATTTATTGCAAACAGGAGTAGTATCAAACTTCTCTAGTATTTTCTTTCAAACAAAATTGATAAAATACTATAGAATGAACAGAGCAATAAGCCAAGTATTAATTAAAGCAAGACCGTTCTCTTGTATTCAACTCCATGTCACTAAATGCATGATATAATTATTCAGATTTTGTTTAGTTACTTGGTAAAAAAAAGCATTTACATAGAGTCTTTTTTTTTGTATTTTAATAGCACAAAGACAGTTGTGTAATTTGTGAAAACTGAAGCTAAAACGAAAATGTGATCAATACAAATCTGTCAATAGTGGGAACAACAGAAGTAAAGAGGCTGAAACCTTACTCAAGTAAAGAAGTACATTATGCTAATATAATAATAAGTTGGCAAACAAAAATTTATAAGCATAATGAAGTGATTTATTTTTGGGGAACATACAACATGTTTCGACAGAACATTGGTCTGTCTTCTTCCAGGACACATAGAGAGGTAAAGAGCCTAAACCTTGCAGAGGATGTTATCCAAAGTCATATACAGAAACAAAGAAGTCAATGAAATTAAAAATTAATCACCTTAAGAGTAACTTTTATCACATTTTTAACATCAAGAAGTTTTCAGTTTTCATTTCAGACCAGTCTAACGAACTTGATATTTTCATGGCCCACAAGAATCCTTGCAAAAACCACTACTGATAACATGGGGGAAAGAAATCAAATTTCATAAAGGGATCAATATGTTCAATGAAATAAACACCAGTAATTAAGTTTTGAGAAGATTTGTACAAATAAGATACCCTAATATTTGAAAAATGATACTAATGGAATGAAAACAGAATGTAGTATACATTGTGAAATGCCTAAAAGAAAAAAAAAGGATTTCTTAATGAACAACAGAAAACAAAAACATTAGAAGTAATAAAAAAACACCTACATGTACTGTTATCCTAAGTCAATGAAATGTCCATACACAGTTAATAAAAACAAGATCACAACTACTAGTTTTTGGACAACAAAGATATGCTTCCAGTTGATTGCCAACTATACAAGGCTATAATGATCAAAGCATATTGTCTTGTTCTTAGTACTGATCTTTCATTAGAACATATCATGCTAATAAGCTGTAATAACATTGCTAGGGGTATGCTTATTGTCTTACAACAGCTGCTACAGTAGTTCTGTGACTTTGACTATCTTTAATACCCAGTAAATTCTCCACACATTTTTGCCAGTATAACTCTTTAGCTGGTACTAACTTCTCATTTCAAGCAACACCACCTAAGAGCAACACATTTTGTTGATGAGACATTAAGTATTAATTTATAAGATTATTTTTATTTGATACTCAGTTTTTTCTCAAAAGAATTTATTTTTTGTTGACAGAGACTTGCTGATATTGGAATGTTTTGGCCATTGACTTTAACTAAAATCGTTTTTTAGCCCTAATTAGCCATATTTTCCTTATCTTCTATTTTTGTTTTTCTCCTCCTTCTGGTTACAACAAATTCAAACACTGCAACATGTTTTCATGGTGACAGACTATAAATACAAGTTTTTTATGGCTTTTTGTTACAGTACAGGTATTTTAGAACCCAACAGGAAGACGAAGTGGGATCTCTAAGTGTTGTTAATTTGGTGAAATACTGATTTGAAAGTTTGTTTGTAATTAAGCACAAAGCTACATAATGAACTATCTGTGCTCTGCCCACCACGGGTATTGAAACCCGGATTCTAGCATTGTAAGTCTGCAGACATACCGCTGTTCCACTAGGGGTGATTTGAAAGTTAAGAAGCATGTACATCATAGCAGTTTCTATAAGGACTTTCCAAGACTAGTCAGCTTTTGAATAAATGTATGCATTTATTTATCTTAGTTCAGTGCTATAGAAGAACTTATAAGAAAGTTATTTTGAGAAAGATAGTAACATATGGGGAGTCTCCTGGTGGGACAGCAGTAAATTTACAGACTTACAATGCTAAAATTTTGGGGTTCAATTCTCTGCAGTGGACAAAGCAGACAATAAAATATGGGTTTGCTCTAAAACAAACAAACAAATATATGGGGATGATGCAAATGATAGTTAATAATATCTAAGCCTGAGACCGCAATGTTGTTAAAGAGATGAAATTTAAATACAAAAAAAATTGAAATACTTAATTTTGTGACCTCAAAGTTTAAAAGTTCTAGATGAATTTTCAATACCTTCATAGTAGCATGGTTAACCATCTCTTGCCAGGCAGTGTCAAATTCCCATTCCTTCTGGTGTTTTATAAACTTGGCTTCTGCAATAGAAATAGTCTCTCTAGCTGCAAGATGAACACCACAAGCTCTCTGATACTGGACAGCAGCTCTCTGACATTCTAGTTGTGCCTATAAAATTCAAGTCAATGGTGTTTCCATAGGCTGAGGAACACTTTCAATTACATACAGAATAGAAGACCAAATCTAGGTATAGTTAGATATGTCACATTACTCAGTAATTTTATAATAAGATATTCAGAAAAGTGCTACATATATTAGGTACACAGCTTGCTAGCACATTAAAATATACACATTTACATAGTGTTGTAGAAGTGAACAGTGTTGTTTGTACCAATATGGCCACAATGTATAAGAACACATCTATGTCTAAAAGTTAATATCTCAAAACATTCTTAAAGTATAACCCATTAAACATCACATGTTTTCGTCCTTCCGTACTGCAACTTGCTGATTTTTTTGTTGCCTTGAATTTAATAATCTAACTTGTCTCCAACTTCCAGTCCAGTTTGAGTCTTTCTTGTTTTATAAATATGTAATGTATGATGTTATTTTCCCAATCTTTTATCATTTTAAGTGACAAGCTAGCTAGAAGATACTATGCACACCATTAGCTAAGAGAAACCTCCAGCACAGTGACACTCTGTAAGTTTTAGTTAAAGCCTTCCGATAGTTTAAATGGAAACACATTCCTTGTTTGGTAGGTAGTTTTGTGCACAAAAACCTAAGCTCAGTAAGATCCTGGTGGCTCTTGTTTTTAGCCTAACAACAGCTTTAAAGGAAGTTTATGCTTACTAAAGGTATTGAACTATATCAGTGGTTCTCAATGTGTGGTCAGCGGCCCACTAGTGGTCTGTGGGCTGGTCCAAATTGCAAATCACATCAAAAATAGTGCTATTCTTCTCATTAATTCTGATGAGTTATTTGCAGTGACAACAAAAGTTGGTGGGGTAGGACCGGTAGGTGGTCCATGGGGTCTTTTGCCAACCTATACAATGTCACATTTGCCAGAAAAATCCAGTGTAACTAACAGTAGATGACACCACAGCCAAGCTGTTAATAAAAGTGACATACTAAGTGATCTTATGACAAATAAAAATAGCAGGAGTAAATCAGCAATTAAATTAGAAATAAAAACCTAAGAATATTATTTATATAAGATAAAAATAGTTAATATAAACTATAATTAAAATTGGCAAGATTAAGCTAAGTTTTCATATTATTAGCACAAAAAAGGTATTTTTTGTAAATTCTTTGGTACTACTTCTGTTAAAAATTATCAATAATTTTGCTTAAAATGCATCATTATTTCATCATTTTATGCAAAGTTGGTTGAAGTTAAAAATTAAGTTACTTTTTTGAGTATTATTGAAAAATATTAATGGTTCATTCAAATTAATTTAACCAAAGTTGTGTTTTATATTCTTAACACTAGAAATGTATTTCTGATAGGTACTAACCCCCTCTCACCCAAAGCTATCTTGTCCTTGATTTGACCTCTAAGCATTGCTAAAATTTTCACCAGTCTATTATACCCCTTCATTTTTGCACCATTGCAATAACATTTGCTGATCATGAAAAACATGGGCAGAAAACATCCAGTGGAAGCACCTTGTATTAATAATGTATGTCATGACCAACAAGTGTGGCCAACCCAGGCAAAAAACATCCAGGAGAAGTGCCTTGGCTTGTGAATATTATGATAGAGTATAATATGAAGTATAAAGACAATAGCCATCTTCTCACAGAGTGGGTACATATGACTAGAAAGTTTTAATTACCATACAAATACCATCCATGAGAAAACCTCCACCATCCACCACTCTAGTGACTGGGAACCGGAAGAGGCAAGGAACCCCTTGTTCCACTAGAAGAAAGAAGGGAAAATACGAGGAACGACACACTGGAGACAGTGCAATGGGTTTCTGCATTTTCTATTTTGAAAAGCAGAAAAATCGTGATTGTAAGAATCACAGGTCAGTAAGAATGGGCAAAAATCCCTATCTGCTTTACTCATGAAGTCCAAGAGTGATGGTCCTTTACATATGATAAAAAATATAGATAAATACACACCACTGAATAAGTGGCTGGTGGTCTTACAGAAACACCCCATCTCCACAGTGAGCATTACAGAAGTATACAGATTTAGTGCTAAGATATAAAACTCAGCATATCTGTCAAGGCAACACCAACCATAAGGTGGGATCCTGAAATATGATGTATATCAATGAAATAAGATAAAAAATAATAATATGTTGAGTTACCCAGACAAAGATGAACAGACTTGTGTTGAATTGCCACAGGAGAAAGACAAGACCTGCCAGAGAAAGACACAGCTATGTTGTGACGAGAAAAAGTGATGAATGTATTGGGAGTTGTCCACATACCAGCCTGAATGATCTCCTCCAAAAGACAGCAGTTTTGAGCAGCTAAAGACTTAGTTAAATGACAAATTTGGTGTGAAGAAACATTATGTAGACGGCAACTTGCCACGAACACGTCAAAATACGGCAGTTGTATGAGTTGCAATGGTGCAAAAATGAAGGGGTATAATAGACTGGTGAGTTGTTGACTGTTGAAAATTTTAGCAATGCTTAGAGGGCAAATCAAGGTCAAGATAGCTTTGGGTGAGGGGGTAGTACTGTTTCGGAATTTCACTGATTTGGATGACACTTTTATTGAACATATGTCATATATTGCAAATATGTAACATTACTCATATAAATCTAGACCAGTTAAAAACTAATGATTATTATTTGAAGTTAAAAAACAGATAATATGTTTTTAGCAATGAAAAAAGGTTAATCTCCAGGTGTGATAATGAAGTATACTATACCTAACAGGAAGAATTACAGTATTCATGAACTAACATACTAACAAGTTATAAAATATCTATTAAACTCTGTATTCTCACTTTGCGTGCTATGTCCTTTGCATCAAAATATGGTCTTGCTACCTCCACACATTTACCAAGCTTCTTAGCAAGGAGCTTCAGTTTCTGGCAGGAATCACTTAGTGTTGTTCGAAAGGCTCCATTTGCCTCCTGTAAAACAAGTGTGCCTTGAGACTTGATGGAACCTATAAAGGTATATTTTGTGTGTTTATGTACAATCAACATCATCTAATTTCATCCCAACTCTTCAAGCTTTCTCAGTCACATTTTGCATTTTCTCTTAATGTTTTTCATAAAAAAAAAACTTTCAAAAGATCCCAAAGAATTATGACAAATTCAGTCTCTCAGTATTTTCTCTTTTTGTAATTACATACCTCACCTTACTACTTACAGATGTTTAAGTATTTTGATAAAAACTCTTTTAGTGGAAAACACCAGATATAAACAAATTGAAATAGAAACATCCTACCTTTGACACTTCTAAAGACAAATTACAATATAAACATGAATATTATCATTTAATAGTACATGTTCTTTAAGCAATATATGCAGGCAGATTACAATCTAACAATCCACACTATCCAGAATGCTAACCTTAGAAATATTTGTCTTCTCAGTTTGTTTGTTTCATGTTCTTTAAGCAATATATGCAGGCAGATTACAATCTAACAATCCACGTTATCCAGAATGCTAACCTTAGAAATATTTGTCTTCTCAGTTTGTTTGTTTCATGTTCTTTAAGCAATATATGCAGGCAGATTACAATCTAACAATCCACATTATCCAGAATGCTAACCTTAGAAATATTTGTCTTCTCTGTTTGTTTGTTTAAAATCAACAATATTACAAAGCAAATAAAACATTTTGATGAAAATGCTAATATACATTTGCATTACTAAGATTTAAGAAAGAAAACAAATGAGTCACTTAAACTAAAACAATGATGTACAGAAAAAAATTTAACAAAACCACAAAAAAAAAAGAAAAATCTATGCATGTGTTCTTCTGTGCAAGGTTGGTGTAAGACAAAACTTGGCATTTAAAATATAATTTAATAAAACTAGTTTTTTAACAAAATGGTTGGCTTATTTATATCAATTAACATTATGCTAATAAACACTTACTCTATTATAGACACAGAAATTAACCTTAAAAAAAAATATGCAAAAAAAATGTGACTGTGACAATATCAAACTTCCTACTTATTTATGCTGCTTTTCTCAGTTTCAACATTTTGTGGTTCTTGTGAATTTTCTAATAACGAATTGCTTTACAATACTTTATCATTTTAAGTAGTTTCAAGAACTGTAAAACTAGAATAAACAGCAGCACTTTGCACATTGGTTCAATTACAGCTACAGAAACAAAATCACTGATGTTAGTTACAAACAACAGAAATGGAATAGTTCAAGGTTCCAAAAAACAGCACATAATCACATTTGTGACAAAGTTAAGGTTTTGATGTTTAATGTTGAACACTGAAATAATCTTAAAATGTATAAAATGGAAAAAGAATAACTAATGCTTCAATCTGAAGCAGTCTTGTCTTCACTTCAAATACAAAATATACTAGAGAAATACAGGAAATACACTGCAAAACAAACAAATGTTAAGACAATACTTCTTTATTAGATATTTAGTATCATGAAAACTACTGCAAAGTCTAATAAACAATATATTCAGATGATAAAATTATAATCAACAGAACAGAACCAGAGTAGAGGTGAAAATGGCATTGTCTTGAAGATTTTTATTGCATATGTAATTTAAGACCAGGAAAAATGAGAACCCATCCCATGCAGGTGACCTATATTTTTGAACTCCCAAGTTTTTTAGTGGAACACCCCGAGAACTTGTGAGGATCAGTGATAAACTAATCTGGACCACTTTTTAGCAAAATAAATTCAAAATTAGAAGCTGCTTCTAAGATTTCATGTTTTACCTCGTGCTGTCTTGATGTTCTGCTCTACTAATGTCAATGCTTTCTTCTGTTCACAGGTCCAAAATCAGTACATCCATATATCATGGTTAGTTCTTCTAAACAGATTTGAAAGGCATGGATATTTGGCTTGTAAGTCTTCACCATGACCAGTTCTCTGGCACAAAACTTCCATACAAAAGAAAAGTGATAGCTCTGTTAGTTCGCCATCATCTGGCTAACAAACAGACGATTCATTCAAGTGCCTCCTCCATCACGGATGCAGTTCTGGAGGTGTGAGGCAGAGCCAAGATTCCTGCTCAGTTCAAGAAGCACATAGTAGACAAGGTTAAGAAACCCTTTTACAGGTGTAAAAAGCTTAAGAAGAACAAAGAAAATATAGCAAAAACATCTTAAACCCTGAAAGCCAAGGAGGAGAGCTTCAAAGAGGACCTGGATGATCTCTTTAGTATTGCCCAGCCCACACAAAGGCACTGGAAATGATAAAAATTGAAGAGGACATTGATTCTTCCTGGTGCAAAGAGAGAAAGGATGTCGAGGCACAGCAGGACCAGTGGGCACCACTTTGGTCAGAAAGGAGAAGAGAAAGAAGTGCAGTAATGTTACATCAAAGAGGAACAGTATCAGAAAGTAGAAGGCAGAGGGGGCAAGGACAAATTCATACAGTACTGATGTAACTGCTATCCCAACCATTGATGACAGTTTTGCTGTTCCTGGGCTCTCCACATCTAGGTCATCTGTGCCCCTGAAGTGTGCTCAAGCAACCATTCTCAGTCCTGGATTGACAGCAACACTGAACTGTACCACAATGAATGACCCGAAAAGCCACTATTCTCTTGACTTCAGTTGTGGATACTTTGGGTCATAATATCACAGGCGTGAGTTTGAACCATACATAAATTCAGAAGAAATGAATGAAATTCTGGAAGGAAACTGAATAACCAATTAAGGAATTATTCAATCTGGCCCTTTCCTTGATCATTACTGGGAATGAAAGCTGCTTCCAGAATGACTGTGAATGAGATTGTGGATTGATTCCCAATTATTGTATCTGGAGGAGGAGAAGAGTAACTTCAGGAAGTCCTCAAGCTGGGAAATGAAACTAGCTTGGCAATGTCCAATTCAATGAAAAAGGCAGTCTCACTTGGAAGATTGAAGACAAGGTCCAAGCCATGTGCTTCAATATCACTACCTTGAACAATGCTCCACCTTGCCTAGAGGTATCACATCTTTGAGCTGATGCCGGAGGCAGTCTTCTCAACTTGTATGGGGATATCAACTTGGCCAGATATCTTGTGCTACCAATGCTTTTGGGAAATGCAGAAATTCCTGAACAAGGAAAGGTTCCAGACTGCAATGGATGATGATACTACAACTTCTGCTGTATCAGACATTTGTGATGAAGTTCTTGCATTTATTGAAGAGATACTCCAGATTCAGTAACCCAGAGATGACCCATCTTTCTGGGATGGACACCACTTCAAGGAGTTCAGTTGATGATAAAAGTCATTTATGCTCTCCAAGTCTTCATGTTCCAAGGTCAGTTTAACCTCATGGTCAGAGAGGAGGTGGCAATGAAAAGAACTTGGACATTCATGTCCATCATTTATACAAAAGCATGGTAATGCCCTCTCCCTGTCCCATTGTCCACTCCAAGGAATGACCTGTAGCTCATCCAAGCTCTTCAGGTTTACAAGACCTTGGATCCATAGGTAGCCAACACCACATTGAGAAAGTTCATTCACCACCACTGGTAATTGTTTGAGGAGTTTGTCACTCTCACCATCTTCAATGATGATGTGCCCATAGAGACCATGAAGCCTTTAGTCCAAGCTATTGAAGATTATGGGAATAAAGATTGACAGAGCAAAGCGACAGATGAAGAGAAGAACTCTGGGACAATGGCTGAAGCCCTGAAGAACTGCCTCCAGTTTTTTAAATCATGTGCATCAAATCAGACCCCTTCCTTTCTAAGGATCCAGGCTATGAAGAACAAGATGAAGAGTTCTTGAAAAGGCAAAATAATATGCATCAATGACACCATGGAACAAGGACCAAAAACAGTACCTTCTTTTGGTGGTCAAGGAGCACAGAAAAAAGTCCCTGATGCATAGAAGAGCACCATCATTAAGGCTGTAGAAGCAAATGTTGTTTGATTCTGTAATAAAGAAGCATATTAGCAGCTTCAAGCAATTCATCTGTCTATGGCTTTACAATAAATGTTTTTTTGTTCATTTTCTTCAAATGTTTCAGAGTAATTTGCATGATATTCACAGCTTTTTTGTTTGTGTGATGCACACAGTACAGCACAGCATTACAGGGGGAGAAACTTAAAGGGGTGGTAGCAATCCCTTAACATGCTTTGATTCCCTTAAAATTTTGTTTACTTCAGTTACTGGTCAATCCTCATAAAAGTATTGGGTGCCCAAAACAAAATTATTACTTTTGATTTTTATTCCCTGGGTAAAGGCCACCCTCTATCCCATGCTCTTTGTTTCTTCATACAAGTCTTTTTCAGCTGAGAACATAAGTGTTCTGAAGCAGAGAACTATGAACACAAATTTAAGGATGGAATCTGAAAAACGTTTAGTTATAGGAATCAAGATAAAATCTTCTTCCAATGCTTTGTATAAAAGCTGAGGAACAGAAAACTGTGAGATCAAAACATACATGGAAATTTTCACAAATAGAAATAACTTCTTCACTTTTGAATATATATCATAGTGGGGTTATTCAAACTGGGTAGTTGATTCTTGAGAGTTAAGAATGATGAAAAAGTAAACCTGGTTGTAGCATGAAGAAACTAATGTGCTAATGGTAACATCTAGACAAACATGAGCTTTGTGAATCTTTTTAAGAGTCGCAGGAGTAAAGGAGCAGGTTGAAAGATAGTTTTGGCCATTTACATAGAAATAGGGGTTTGGTTTAGAAATAGTTTCAGGAGTCTATATTTTTGGTTGAAGGGCAATTTGAAGGAAATTTCTAATATTGTCTTATAAACAGGATGCCTTGGAATGTTGTTATTTAATAAGCAATTGTTTGTCAGCTAGAAAAAAGTGACGACATGTTGTTCAAAGCTTTATATTTTTCAGACAGAAATCTCAAAATTACTTGACATGTACAGCATCATTGCTTTATACCTATTTTTCACAGAGCAAAATACCTTTGTTTTACAACTTTTATCATGTACAAAATTTATGCAATGCAAATGGAATTTCAAACTGCAACACAAAACAAAAATTACAAGCCATTATTAATGCTCTACAAACGAGCATGTGGAACACCAGTAAAACCGAGGCTATGATTAAATTATATTGATGTACGATGTATTTGATATTGGCAATTTACTTACATCTAACTGATTTTCAAGATGGTTTATTTCATCTGTGCATGTATTCAGGTGCTCAAGCTGAATCTGTGAGAAAAACAAATTTTAAATTACAAAGTATTAGGTTTTTATGATATCAAAAATAATTTGTACATTTATTATTTTTTTCTTACAAAACAACAGTAAAAAAAAATTGAAGTATCACTCTGATGCAGAACTACTCATCACCTTTGCTGCTCTAAATATCACTATTATTTTAAGCCTGATTTATATGCTTAGATATTAACTCATGAACATGTGTTATAATACATATAAAAATTCTTTTCAGCAAAGAGTAAAAATATATTCTATCTCCTTTACTCAGTATCATTAAGAACAAAATTTGAATATCAACTTTAATAAAAAGTTCCAAAACTCAATACATTTTCTGAAGTAATATGAGTTTTAAATAAGAAGACTGTCTATATCTTACATCACATTGCAATATGCCTTATTATGAGATACATTTTAAGTCTTCTACATAGTTCAAAACAAACTTCTCTTGCAAAAACATGTACTACTGGTTTTGGTGTGTTCTACAGGGTACTTGTACTATTATCAAAATAATTTCTACAGACGTAAGTTAGTAGCCAATCAATACCTTTCAAATACACTATTCTTAATCCTCTTAGCTATCTTGATACCAAAACCCATCCAAATATTTATTACAAAAAGTGTGAGATAAATGCTTGGACTCACTTGAGAGAGCAGGCAAATTTTACAAATAGTAAAACCCATCTGACAACCTCTCCAGGAGAAGAGCTATACTAACAAGGCTAAACTGAGTCATTAAGTGGTTGGAGTTGTTGCCAAAAAATAAAATTCCAACTCTTCAGAGCAGAATGACTTAAATATTGGGTCACATCAAGTACTTAGGTAGGAATTAACAGATAGGAAGAACAACCAATCCTGTGCCAGAAGCAAGATACCAAAAAGATAAACAGAAGGAACTTTCAAAACAGGCTAAGGTAATACTCCTTTCACCAATAGGGTTAACAAGAACACAACAATAATGTGTAATGCTAAGTAAGTAATAGTATGTAGTTTTTTCATTTTCAAGGACAAAAGAATTCCTTCAGAAAGGTCACTTGTGGTGTATCAATATACATGTCCACGTTATAGGCATAGCTGTATTGGGTCAATAACATAAATCCTGATTACCAGAATCAAGGAGCACGCATAAAACAGCCCTTCCAAGAACTCTGGTGGAATTTACAACCATCTAAAGAAAGACTGTAGTGAAAAACCAAATACTGAATACTTTAAAATTACAGACTCAGCAAATGATAAATGAATGTTAAGGAAAAAAAAGAACTCTTAATTCAAAAAATGAAATCAAATCCAAACAACCAGCTAACAACACCACTGTATTTCAAAGTACAATTATGCCCGAGATGGGAAAGAAATGGAAGCTTTGAAACCTTTATGTAAACTGCATCTAACTAATAGTAATAAAAAGAAGTTAAAATTTAAGTGAGAATACAAAAAAATAAATACAAGTTAATAACTAGTAAGAAAAATAAAATTTATATAAAAATGTATGGTATTTGTCTAATTTATAGTCCAAGGTGAAAGTTTATAATGTATTTAGTAAGATATTAGGATTCAAGTGATATTTATTTGGATTTGGATGCCAAAGTAGCCAAGAAAATTGTTGGTGGTTCACATGTACTTGGAAGGTTTGCTGTTCACTAACAATAACGGAAGTGACATCATAATTTTAAATTCCTATAGAGGAGACTATAATCATAGCAGCAGTTATTTTCATGAGAGATAGGCTCGGTACATTTTTAATTTTATGGAAAGCTATATGAATTACACCTGCTATTAACAGAATAAAGTACAATGAAATATGAAAAAGAAGACTATATATATAAATATTTAAGTGCATAATATGTGTAAACCTGTTTTCATGGTCAAAATGTTTATCACACCAATATCTTGACAGTTTAATAAAATAAATGTTTTTATTTTTAAAACAAGTCAATTTAGATTTATTAGAATAATATTGTTGTTACAAAGATCAATTCCTCATAGTTATAATATAAATATAGAAAAAAAAGGAATATATGTTTCTTATCTTAATGAATAAACTGTACAGATTCCTGAATGGACCCCATCACACTTAGCCAAGTACTACTTTATAAGAAGGAAAATAACACTGAATTTCATAATATTATGTTTATTCAAAGAAGATTAATATGGATTTGCTGATACAAAATGCAAAAAAAACACCTGGTTACGTGCAGTTTAGTTACTTGACTTGTAGAGATGTGTGTGTGTGTGCATACATGTAGGGATATTTTTGACAAGCAAAAATAGTAAATAATACTATTAACATTTAAATAGAATCTCTGCATTTTAATCCATCTGTATCTAAGTAACAATCCCTGCTAACTACCAGATATACAGTCAGGGCCACAGGGAGCCATCATGGGCCCCAGGAAAAAAAATTATGTTAAGGAAACTCCTAATCATTGGAAGGTTGCAAAGTAATCCCTATTTTTAAAATGAAAAAGCATAGTGAAGACCTGGAAAACTATATACAAATTATTCGGACTTTTGTCATTAGCAAAGTGTCGAAAGTGTTATTAGATAGCACTTAAACAAGCAATTGCAAAGATGGCATTTAATTTAAGATTCAAAATGTGTTTTTTTTTTTTTAGAAAAGGTGATTTTCTTGCCTTACCAATTTGGTTGATAAAGCCTCCACCTTTTCGGATGAGGACATCCTGGTTGATGTTGTTTATCTTGAATTTTAGAAAGCCTTTGACAAGATGCCTTACAAATGATTAATTAGTAAGTGTCATGCTTATGGAAGGGTAGAAAAGTTAAAAAATGGTCAGAAGATTGGTTTAATGGAAGAAAGCAATGTGGGTGAAGGATGAACTTGATGGACTGCATGACCATCTGACATCTTATATACTTTTATATTGTAACATCTTAATATACATGTTCCTCTAAATAATCTTATAAACTTCAGTAAGATCACCTCTTACTCTTTTTATTTTATAAAATAATCCTTCCATCCCCAAAATCATCTTAGTACCAGTCCTCTTAACCCTTTATTAGATAAGGAGACCAAAACTGTGCAGTGTATTCCAAATGAAGCCTAACTACTGATTTGTACAAACAGATAATCACCTGTTTGAACTTGTAACCAATATGTCTGTAAAGACACACTAAAGTTTTATTAGTTTTACTACTAACATTTTGATGAATTGAGTGATTTATCAAACACAATTTTCATCGGGCACATTACTGAGTGGGTTCTCATTGTGATATACAAACACACCATGTTATATAGCTCTCTCTTTCTATATCTCAAGCCCTCAGTTTGGTAAGTGAAATAAACGTCCTTTCTTAATAATATTCTCCTAAAATTTAACCGTTAAGAGTAGCTTTAACTAGTTCTTATTAAACATTGTTTTAAGTTCTTAGGAAAATACAGAATGTTAGCTATACAGTAAAGGCACTGTTCTTTGTCTTGTGCATATTATTTTGATTGTGTTTTTGAGTATAAATAAAAATTATTTTCACTCTGTGTTATAAATTGTGTTCAGTCTTTTTCTTTTACAAAGTCAGAGAATTCTGAATTACTTCATTATAATATCTAATTAAATCTTCTGTAATTCTGCAGACTTATCTTGTTGCTCTAAGATCACCTGTTTTACCTGAATATACCACACTATCTATATCAGATGCGTGATCTAAAAAATGATAACCCAAATGCATTACTTACCTTTTATTAAGTCATAAAGCTTTCCTTTACCTGCTGGAAAATCAAATTTTAATCCCTGCAACTTGTGCAAGTAACTTTCCATCAGAGTTATAAAAATATTACTAACCTTTACTCTTGGATCTAGCTCTTCTTCTTCATTTATTGAGGATGAAGTTCCCAAGTCATCCATTGATAGGTATTTGAACATTACCCACATGCATGTCACATCACTGTATTAAAGTTTCATTTAACTTCTGCCTTAGGCTCACATTCTTCTTCCCTGTTATTTTTTAATAAGAAAAATACAAGTTTCCAGCTAAACAGTATATAAAAATCCTTGTATTTCCATTAGAATTACATACTGTAGCTTTTCCAGTTAATAGCCCAAGAACTAAGCTCAAATTAAAGCTACAGCTGTTCGTTTTGTGATAAAAGCATGAAACTTGCCACGATGACAAGATCGCATTACAAATTTAAAATTCCAACTCACCTCAAACAGACTCTAGTGGCCAATTTTGAAGTTGTAATGTACAGGTTTGAATGGAGAAATTTTAGTCCTGAAGCTACAGTTCCACAAATAATGAAATAATAAACTAAAAATAAATTATTTTCACACTCTCAAAGTATATTAAGTAATACAAAACATTTCAGAGTTGATTAAAAAATTACAGTTGTATTTATATCTCTAAGTTATCTTATTTCTATTATAAAGTTTTATTGTGTAAACAAACGTCAGGTCTAACTTAAAATATGGCACAAAGATATCAAATCTCAAACTACCAACATGTTTACATATTGTTCACTACATATTGCATCACAGTAAGGAATTTTATGTTTTTCCTCTTACAACATTAATTGACCAAAGAAAAATATGAAATCACTCATTTTTTATGTAAAGTGCACAGAAAACCCCATTAGTACTTATTAAGATTAAATGAAATAAAATACTGATGGCATTTTTGTTTAAATGTTTTATGAATCATATATTATTAGTTATCCTGTAACCTAAAAAGTCATAGACCCACAAGCAGGTTGGTGAATAAATAATTAAAAAGATATGTTTAAAAATCTCATATGGTCAATATGGTCTCCATCAGTAACTCTAGGGTTAAAAATAACATTTCTGTAGAAGCACAAATTTTGAAAATGTAAACACTGATGATTACCTAGCATCAATAGGTTTTTCAGTTTATTACCTACTTTCATAACTGTTGGAATGTCATTAAAAACTGATACCTTGATAAAACTACTCTAAATATCTGATAGAAGTGCAGTCTGGTATTTATAATTACCAAGGTGAGGTCATTTATGAAATGTATACATTTGTTTTGATGTTTTTATGTTATTCTTTATTTATGATGCATACTTGGTTTCCTTAATCCCAATAAATTATAACTTTATAATATTAGAAAAACTCTGATATTAATATATAAGCTGAAATTAATCACAAACAAATCTTATGCACAAAAAAACACAGAAGTGTCTAACATCTAGCTTTCCAAGAAATAACAAACATTCTGCCTGCTGCTATATGGAATAAGAATATAACTGTCTTACAAGCACATGACCCTGTAAAGCAAGATATTTTTCCTTTTTCTGTGGGATTATAGGATCAGTAAGATAGTTTGGACATCTGATGCAGCTTGTAAACATGTCAGGAGGACTCCACACTAGGATGCCAATTGTTAAAACTGATATCAGCTGAATGGATCTAGATGGACAACAGCTCTTACTTGGACTGACATTTGTAAAAAATAGCACAGCTGGCTCTTTCATTCATGTTTCACACTTTTTAAGACATATCATGCTCACTGTTTCCTGGCCACTAGCTTGTTCAAACTATAGAAACATGCACATACCAGACACCAAAACTTTTCAGGTGAAGATGATCAAAATTACACACCACTGAATTTTACAAAATGGGCAAGTAATAAAACCAGCCTGATTTACTATGGTTACCAAAACTTTTATAGCTCTTGCATCATCACTCAATAAACTTTGGAAGGGATTGAGCACTTTGTGGTTTTATGGTACAACAAGACAAGTGCTATTAAAAGAGGTGAAGGAGTTTCAAGGGAAAATTATTTCACTCCAGATCCACACAAAACATACCCTAATAATTCAATAAACACTTCTGCAATACACAAAATGTACAGTATATCAGGCTCATCATGTTTCAGATCAGGCTCTCATGGTTCAATCTGAAGTTCTGGTTCAAGTTGGTGGGGCTGGATAAAGGTGAAAATTTGGTGGAAGCCTCTGTGGATGACTCTTCCACAATCACATCTTTTGTGTGGTTAAAAGGAAGCCTGTAAATGAAGGTGCAAATGTTTCAAAGCAAATGTAGCATGCAATGTCCCTATGTCATTGTGATGGAAATTATTAAAAATTAAAGAATTATGAGCCACTAATTGACACTGACCCTACTCTATTCACAAATTTGCTTTTAAAGACAATCAATCAATGATATTTCTCCTAATTAAGCTGGCTGATCCTCATGAGGTATTAATGGGATTACAGTTGAAAATACTGTGAACAGTGAGGGCACCCAAATGATGAGTTAATGCATTCTAATCATTATAAGTAAGAACAGTATAATAAGTTTAACTTAGCAAATATGTACTGGATTAACTTTTAGTTTTAATCTATGTCAATAAAATGCTATGGTCAGAACTTAATAATGATTTCAAATTCGATAACAAGGAACCCACTTTGAGAATAATAATGGTTGGAGACTGCTTGAATGGGTAATGAAGAAAAACTTTAATATAAGTTTAACATAACAGCAAATGTACAACGTTTCGACAAGGTTTTGTCATCATCAGGTTTTGCTGTTATGTTAAACTTATATTAAAGTTTTTCTTCATTAACCATTCAAGCCGTCTCCAACCATTATTAATAATGATTGCTATTTATAAAATTAAAATGGTGTGAAATCACAATTTAAAAAAAATATAAATTACAGTAATAGTTAATGATTTAAAAAAATAAAAAAAAACATTAGCAATAATTATACAATTTTTAAAAAGTAATTTATGTATATTTGAATACTTGTTTATCTCTGTCAAAACTGTTATTTCCTCCTTTTTGTTTAATATGTTATTATTTGCCACCAGATGGTGACTAACTTTTGCTTTTGTGTTGACAAAAAAGTGACTAATAATTAATAACAATGCAAAATATTACTTTAAAATTTTTTAAAATTATTTTAATATTTATATTTTTGGTCAGTAGGTGGGGTAAAAATATTATATCTTAAAAATAACTATCTGAAAATATTTTCATCATAGTTACAGAGAGGGTTGAGTACATTGTATTAAAATGATTTTGGAACCTTAACATGTCATTATAATCCATGTTGCCTCAGCTGTTCATGCTCTACATGACCATGTAGCTTGACCCTTGACGATAGCACTGCAGCATAGTTTACATTGCAAAAAAGCACTTTCATAAAGCTGTCATGTTCAAAACACACAACTCCTCCCTGCATGGTTTTCATAATCCATCCAGTGCACAAAGGTGAGGTTTCCCAGTACTTATTTCAACAGTCTGATTGCACAGAAATCCACAGACATTATGTATAGTGATCTTAAATGGTATGTCTTTGTATGGAACAGGATGAATACCAATTTCACTCTACAGCTACTTGAGGTATATGAGGGTTGAATAAAAAGTACAAAATAATGAAATTCATATTTTAGTGAACCCATAAACTGTTGGTCTCTCTTCTAGATTAATTATTCTTGATTATATTGAGTACTGGTGTCTGGGGCATGTGGACAGATTTTGCCACTGACCTCTGAGTTTTTGGATTCATAGCTGTGATAAAACTTGTTGCAGGTCTCTTTCTAGATGGTCCTGCTCCTCCAAGTTGATCCATATTGCTTTATTTTCAAAAGGAATATGATTAAATATTCCTTTCCTGCATACTCGTTCTAAATCCCTGATCTCAACACATCTTTGTGATCTGAATTTAGTAAGGATATTTTATGTCAGAAAGGGCTTTTAATATACCCTTCCCAAAAATGGTCAATTTTTGGTGTCATCACACTGCCTAAGAAATATAAAACGATCTCCAAAAGTAGTTCTGATGCATACCATTCCACCACAACTTTATACAAGTTGTGAAGGTCATGTAACTTGTTGATTTGCATATTCAAAATCATTTAAACATATTAAACTATGTATAATATCTCAAATAAATACTATTTTCTAAATACTAACTTTTTTTGTTACTTACAATACTTGTATGTAAGTTGTAATGCTAAAAAATATCAAATTTTGCATTACCCAATATGGTTGCCAGTGTGCATTCTGGAGATGGGACAAAATTTTAAACCTATTAGTATATATGAATATTTAAATGCACAAATTCATGCTTATCACAAAATGATAACTTTTTGCTTAGCTCTTGGACTATATACAGAAAATACATTAAGTCTTCCATATCCCAATCCCATCCCACTGACTGCAGTAATAATGTCAACTGCATCAACTAGATGCCAAATGCATAAGTCTTAAAAATTAATTTAATCCAAAACTGTAAACAGCACAAGTAATAAGAAAATTAAATATATTAATAATGTTCAGTTGTGAAAAATCCACCAATTGTAGTGTGAAACATGTTGTTCATGGATGCAATCTATAAGTTGAACAAAACTTTTTAAGCAAAGAACCCTAAAGTGAAACAACTCTATGCCTGGAAAATGCTCGTAGCAAATTATTCTAGAAAACAATTATATAGATGAAACTTAAAATGCTCTTTTAAAGTATGACTAAAACCAATGTTGAGCCATACAATATTACATCAAGAATCTTGAAGGATTCTTAAATCTATAAATATATCTACTTGCCTTTAATTTATGGCATTAACAGAACTGTTGCAAAGTGTATATATATATTCACGTACTCAGTTATTATGTCAACTGTAGGGTTACATACTTGTCATCATAAGGCTAACATAATTCTTGAAAGTTTTCAATCTACTCAGATTTCCATTTAAATGAGAACGTTATTATATCTAAATTTTCTTATACTTCTTGTAACCAAGGGAAATCCACACAAAATGTTACTTCACAGAATATTTAAATTTTAATATTGTTAAATTATATTAGCTAAAAATTAAATGTGAACTGAAACTAACAAGTGTACGATTAATTTGTGTTCTATTCTGTTATGTGTGATTCAAAGATTGTTCAGAAATATTCAAGTGAATACTGTAAATTGTAGTATTAATATTATTATTATTTTAAACTAATTTAAGAAAAGGGCTTTTATTAAATGTATCGATTTTTTGTAACCTTAGAAATTAGAGTACAATCGATAACTAATTGTTAGTTGTTATGCACTACTATGTACAGTGTATTATGTTACGTAGTGATTGTAACTTGTAAGCTACGACAATTTGGAATTTTATACTAACTCACCATGTACAATTACTCGAGTTAAACTTAAAGTTATGGTTACTCACTTACTAGTTAGTGTGTGCATACGTAATTATAATTGATTATCTATTAAATTATTATAATTTATATAGCTGTTAATTATATTTTCTACTCTCTGGTACTGGTAGTCTACTTTTCTAGGCCTGCAATAAAAAAATATCCGCTAACAGTAATCACACTAAAATCATATTAATAAATATTTGTATATAAATGTAACATTATAAACATAATAATGTTTATTAGCAAATTCAGTTACAATACAAAATAATCAATATTTATTAATTAAAAACTATAACTACTGTAGTAAATAAGGTTTAACCCACCTCAATGATTACGTCATTAGACTTTCAAGCAACTTCCGGTAAAAGCGCTATCTGCAATGTTAAGCCTTCGTAAATAAGCCTAATCAGTCAAAGGAGATTAATTATTAAACCCCTTGTACTGAGAGAAATATACAATTAAATGTAATATTATCTGACGCCAAAAATTATTATATCTAGCTTTAAAAGAAGAAAAGTTAACAGTACACAGATACAACTTTCTTCAGCAAATCATTCCACAACGCAGCAATTTGCCGTTAACATCAAGACTTATTCAAGTAACTCCTATCTGTAACATTTTTACGTTTACTACATATTGTTACTCCTCTGTTCGTTTGTTAATTTTCCGTAAAAATTCTTTCCGAAGAAACTTTAGCGATACAAGTTCTTTCTTAAGTAAAACTAGTTTATTCTTTCTCCATACACTTAATTTCCACAGTCACGCTATAACTTAAACAAACGCTATAATTCACAACGAATGGATGATTCACGCGCTTGACTCAATTGCCGTCTCTATCTCTGTCTGCAATTTAATTCCATTGTTGCCGTCAGTTCTTGGCGGGC